CCTCCACCATTGTTTCCTGGAAGCAGCCTCTGAGGAGAAGTGCATGTGCAGGAAATCTGGAAGGAGTTGGGGAGCTCAGCTCGGGTAGAAGGAGAAGGGGCCTGCAGTGAGATATCAGGTGCAGCCTCCTTCCTGCGGGGAGACCTCAAACTGGAACCATCCAGGGCATCTGAATCTGAGGCAGGGCCTCGGGGTGTTGGCCTGAGGTGATCATTTACCTGAATCTCTCTGAGAAGGGTCATAACTTGGGAAGGCAGATTTCTGAAGCAAAAGCACTTCCCAGTGAGGAACCCCCCTGTGAGCTGTCAGGGTTCCAGGCAGTAGTGGGTGGGTGTGTGAGCCAGAGGAGGGGATGTGGGTGACCCCTATGTCTACTGTGCCCATCCTCTCCACTCAGGTGGCTCCCACTGATGGCTTCAGGGTTTTAGGAGCCCAGCTTCTCTAGGAAATTTGGACTCTACTCCGGGTCCGTTGTGTGACGAGTGGCCCATAGCACAAGGAAAATGCAGAGATCATGAGCACTGGACAAAAGGCTCCCTCTGACTTTCCTCCACTGACGCCCTCTGGCCCACATGCACACACAGGCCCAGAGAGCAGGGTAGCCTGTGCAGTCAGGTAAATGGTCTCCTGACCCAGTGGGTGCAGGACTGCCTGAGAGCAGAGTGGGGGAGGAGCTCTGGAGACCTCAGACCTGGGTGCCTGGGCCAGACCTGCTCAGTGCTTTTCCATGGTCCTTTTGGGGCTGGAGGAGAGTGCAACGCAGTCGGGGACGTGGATTTTGTTTCACTTCCCCACCTGCCTGTGTCACTGTGAGCATTACCACTGCTATCATAGGACTGACAATAGTAGTCAGCCTCAACCTCATCTCGAGTCCCTCTGATGGTCAGGGTGGCCATGTTTCCTGATTTAGAGGCTGAGAACGAGTCAGAGATCCCTGAGGGTCGCTCATTATTTTTATTAATCACAAGCACAGGAGCTTGTCTTGGCTTCTGCTGGTATCAATATGTATATCTTTTTCCCACTACATCTCCAGAGCAGGTGATTGTAGCCGTCTGTCCCTGGGTCACGGACAGAGAGGGCAACTCGGTCAGCCCACTGGAGGCCACGGAACCTGAAAAGACAGGAGAGGAGGGGTTGGTGTGAGGTCCAGGGACTCATTCCCAGGGACCCAATATAGAGTCAGTGTTGGTGCTGAGCTCAGAGATTGTGGCAGGCCCAGCTCAGGTCCCATGAAGTCTGAGCTCGTGTGCTGGGCTTGGGGGCACACCTGTGCAGGGAGTGATGATGCGGAGCAGGAAATGGGTCCAGGCCATGGTGGAGATGCCCAGAGCTCTGCCTCCAGAGACATCACAGCAGGGCAGGCTCACCCAGGCTTCTCTTATTCCCTCTAGGACCATGGGGCAGTGATTGCTAGTATTTATGCAAATATATTTCCTCCATGCTTTCTGACTGGATTACTCACTTGTGAGGTAAGAATGCTGACTGAGGAGGAAGCCAGGAGCCCCTTGCTTCCTTCATGGAGCTTTCTGGTGAGAAAATCAAACTTGGTTTCCAAGGTCTGGCTTCAATAGTGAAATTCCTGGGATCTGACCCTATGACTCTGTCTAAAACCTCTGTGCCTGAGGTCTATGCTGGTCTGACTCAGGGCCTTGCAGTGTCCTGGCCATGGGGTTAGCTGGCCCTCTAAGCATGCAGACAACCCCTGATTCAGGATCGGTGCTCCTGTAGCCTCATTACCCACCTCTTCCTGCCTCAGATCTCCTGTCTGACCCCCACTGCGCTCTGGTCCCTGCTTGGCATGTCATCACATTGGCAAACTCTCTCATTCCGAGGTTTGTGCATCCCTTTCTACCTGGGAGTTGACTTGTTAACCAACCAGCAGCTGTTGGAGAGTCCTCACAATGTCTCATGTATTGACCCAGGCTATTTTCATCCCTCTGACAGCCCTCATCCCACAAGAGAGCACCATAATTTTTTTCATCATTGTTTTCATATAAACATGTAAAGGGCATGACAAATCTTTGGAAGCTTCCCAGTTGTTATGTGGGTCCCCAAGGTCACAGGTTCCCACCTGGCATGGGATTACTGCCATTTACTAATTGGCAGTTAGTAACTGGCACTAATGGAATCAATTCACCCCTTTAATCAATGCTTTGTAGTTGTCACTCCCTCATTGATTGTTTACCATCTCAGCACAAGAGGGATTACTCTTTATCGGCCTTCCTTTTCCATTCCCTCTCATTGTTTTCACTCTTTGTCCATCTGTCTGTCTGTCCATGCCTACTGGGTTATTTTCTTCCAAGTCCTCAACACCAGAAGGCCCCAGGTGGGTCCTTTGGAGGTGGGATGATTCACCGTATGTGTTTGGATATTATTTCCCTACCATCCTCTGGACTACAATGCATGTGGTGAGGAAAACCCCACTAGAGGGACTTGTGGGAGTCCTTTTTTGGGACACAATCTCTGCAAACCCTTGGTAGAAAACAATCCTTTACTGGAGTGAGTAAGAGGAGCCTGTGATTCCCTGTGACTCAACCTACCATGTACTTGAAAGGAGTCACTGCAAGTCTGAGACCTGTTGTACACCTCTCCTCCTGCTCCTCATTTAACCTTGCCTGCTCTGTCTCTAGAGAAGTAGTCGCCTTCTCTCCTCCTACCCTCGTGGAAGTTTCTAGGCTATGGGCAGCTCCTGGATTTTCCATCTCAGGGCTGCATCACTTCCTACGGGGGGACCAGACCAGAGTTTCGAGGATCCAGCATCACATTTCCTCCCAACTCTGCTCAGGTCTATGCCCAGGGACCAGGGTTACCTTGATTAATACAGATGCTCAACGTTAACACAGAAGCATGGGTGTGTGTGAAAGATGCTGCTTTTCAGATACCAGAAAACCTATGGAGGCAATCAACACGTCAAGTAAGCTGGACCCCTTCCATTATATGCATTTGAGATGGATACTCACAGCATTGAGAACCTGGGGAGTCAATATATTTATCACTTTGGTGCACTGTCTTCACCATGCCTCGCTGTCTTACCAGTTGTTGTGTTCCTTGGCAGAACCTGGAAAAGTTCTGTAGGCAGCATGAGGACACATTCTTGGCACCAAAAATTGAGAATTGGGTACCGATGGAGAGACCCAAGCCATGCTCCATGTTGGTCCTGGCAGAGACATCCTAACATGTATTCTGCTTTCTTAGTAGACCCCAGCTCTGCACCCACCATGGGCTTAAGACTCTGTGGCATACCTCCCTCATGGACCAAATGTTTCCTTTTGAACATTCAACACTGGCAAGCATCCTATTATGCTTCATGATGAAATTATAGTGATGATATTCACTCAATGAACCTCCTTGGTAAGCTGCAGAACTTGGAGATCTCTGTCCATTCTCTGAGCAGAGACCTGTTATGGATGCACGGGGTCTGATGGTGCATGGGGTCATCTCAGACCAGCTACTCTCTCAAGGTCATTTTCCTGTCTGGGCTGATCTGGTCTTTCCCAGCAGTATGGCAAATTAAAGAGCATATTCTGTTGTCAAAAAGACCTAAGTTCGTCCCTGTGTCTGTCTCTTTGTAATGGTGTCTTGGGATTTTGTGCAGGATGACAGGATTTCCAGGGAGAGTCAAATGTCTCAAGACCCTGGAAAGGGGTGTGCAGCAGCTCCGCCGAGTCCCCATGGGGAAGAGAAGAGACAGAGTGGGAGGTTTTAGCCTCATTTTCCTTTGTGTGTATCACTGTGGCTTAACCATATTGACCATCGATTGTGTGGCTCTCACCACAGTAATACTCAGCCTCATCCTCAGACTGGATGTTGGAGATGGTTAAATAGTGGTCAACCCCAGAGCTGGATCCTGAGAAGTTACTGGGGATACCGTCCCCCTTGCTGTGGCTTCCGTCACTATTAACCTTCATCAAATACCGAGGGGCCTTCCATGGTTCCTGTTGATACCAGCGAACATAGTAATTGCTGTGCTCCCTGATCAGGGTGCAGGTGAACTGACTGAGGCTGCCAGGGAGGCAGATGCAGATGGAGGCTGAGTCAGCACAGGCAGAGCACAGAAACCTGGAAACACAAAACACAAGAATGATGCTGAATGAACTGGACACTGGACAGTGTTCCCTGGGTACTGTACTTAGAGGGAAATGTCAAAGAGGCAGAACCCTGACCTGTAGAGATAATAAAGGACAGGAGGTAGAAGGAAACTTAGTCCATGGTGGAGAGGAACTTCGTAGAACTCTTCTCTTAGGCTGTGCTCCTGGGACTGAGTTCTTCAAACTCCCATCTTTTTTTTTTTTTTTAAGTTATGAAAAGCTTTATTCTATGCCATGCATTAGAAGTCTGAGTGACCGGCCAGGGCTGCCTCCAAAGAGCGACCACCTTTGGTCTTACAGGCTAGTTTTTATAGGGCACTGTAAGGGCCTGGTTGGCCAGAGGGAGCCATTTTGTTGCAGTGAACTTAGATTGACCCTATGCAGTGAACTTAGATTGACCCTGCCCCTCCCAGAGGAACTTACTTGCAAAGCCTAGATACAAGGGCAAGTCAGGCCAGGTGAAGACATCCAATCAGAGGGGTGCGCATATATTTACTGAGGTGAGATCCCATTGGCCACCTGTGTGTGGGCGGGGTTCAACCACCCCTATAAAGGTTAGTCTGCGAGGCTGAGGCTGGGGAGGAGTAGAAGAGTTGTTGGAGAAGTAGAAGGGTCAGGGGAGGAGTAGAAGAGTCATCAGAGGAGTAGAAGAATCGAGGGAGGAGTAGAAGAGTCGTCGGAGGAGTAGAAGAGTCGTCAGAGAAGTAGAAGAGTCATCGGAGGAGTAGGAGAGTCGTCAGAGCCATCAGAGCCATCAGAGCTCTTGTAAGAGCTTTAAGAGCCATCAGAGCTCTTGTAAGAGCTGTAAGAGCCGTCAGAATTATCAGAGCTGTCAGAGCCGTTAGAGCTGCCAGCGGCCCCGCTGCCACGAGCTGCGACCTCGCCGGAGCAGCCCCTGTCTGGGGAGCGGCCTCACCAGAGCAGCCCCTGTTCGGGGAGTGGCCCTGTCTGGGGAGCAGCCTCGTCCAGAGCGGCCACATTGGGAGTGGCCTTGCTGGGGTCGTCATCGTCACCTTTTCGTAAGAGGCAGCCCTGACCGGTCAGTTTGATTCTTGATGCTTGGTGCGAAATAAAGCTTTGCTTGACCTTCACTTTGTATTAGTTTCGTTCCTTTGATCACGGACCCCAGCAGGCACAACCTCAGACCTCTACGTATGTGGCTTTGGCTGATTGGATGTCTTTTACTTGTCTGGCCTTATTTTAGGTGTTTGTTTTAGCAACAGTTACCCGGAACTGGTATCACTAACTGCTGAGGCATTTATTAAACAACAAAAAGACTACCTAGGCAACATGGTAACAACAAAACGGCTACCTAGGCAACGAAATGGCTATCTAGGCAACATGGAGTCACTCTGGCTAAGCAGGCCCAGGCAGGCTCGAGGGATTTAGCAGGTTTTAATGTGGAATTGGCCCCAACAGAAGGGAGATCCTGATATAGATAGGGGGCATCTGCTTCAGGAGGAATTTAAAAGGATTGTGATTGAGGACTTTAACAGAGATACGGGTCAACAGGATAGGATTTCGGACAGGGAACTGAGGGGAGATGAACCACAAGGTTCACTGTTATTCCTGATTTAAAGTTGAGCAGTTTGGGTAAGGAAGATGTATGTGCAATTCTGGTTTAAAGTTGAGCAGTTTGTGTAAGGAAGATGTATGTGCAATTCTGGGTCAGTCTTTCCAGCGCTCTCTTCATCAGGGTGAGGTGTGGCCCAACGGACAGTTACAAGTCGCAAGTAAGGAGCTGATTTCCTTAACCTGAAGTTTGGGAACTCCCTGAATGAGTTCCTAGAGGTCCATGATCTCAGTTTCAAACTCCCATCTTATCCTCTGTTTTTGCAGCTCAAGGATGGAGGGGCATCAAATGCAAATCTACTTTCCATTCTTCAATTGTTCTGTGTGAGCTCTTGTTTGAGCTCACACAGGGCTTAAGAGCCCCATTCTGGTAATTTCCTGAGGTCAGAAGTAGGATCAGGTGTGGGTTCCTAAAGTAGAGAGTTGATTTTACACAAGAATCATCAATGGGAGCACCAGACATACCCTTTGCACTTCAGCACAACCCGGGAGCTTTGGACATACTGGGGTCTGAAAACAAGACCCACAGTGCTCCCCTGGGTGCCCTGGGATGAATGTCACCCTATGTGTATTGCTAGTTTAACAAAATGACTACTTCTGAGGCCTCAGTAGGTGCTAAACTTTTGTGAGTGTGTACAGGTTTCACTGAATGAGACACAATGAAAACCAAGGCACAGTTTTCCTCCAGTCTTTTAAATGAAGAATCTAACATTGAGAGATTACATGATTTTCTCATTTCTCATTTGCCATGACAGTGATGAGTAAGTCAAGTTTCCAATCCAGGAGATGTCCCAGAGCCTGCCCTTCCAGTCCCCTCCCTGCACCGACCCCTCACCATGCTCCCTCTCCCCTCATCCCAAGGCTACTGAGACCTTCTTGTCATCACCCTCTCTCCTTTATTCCAGTCTATGTCCTCCCAGGTTCTGTTCTGAAGAGTGCTCAGATGTTCATGGTGTTGCTATCTGTGTTTCCCAAGGAAAAACAGCCTGCTGGCTGTGAGTCTATACTGGAGGGACAGTTACCCTAAGGAAATCTTATGCTTTTAACCTGCTTTGTCTATGGCTCCTACAAGGCATGAAAACCTGTGTACCATCAAATGTGGGTAGTCCCAATAGAAAAGTGTTGTCATTCTAGGGGACCCAGCAGATTTCAAAGACATAGCATAAGAAATAAGGTAAAAAATGTTTTTATATGTAATTCATATTGATGTGATAATATTTTCAAGATATTGATCTAAACAAAGTGTACTATGAAAACAAGTTCTGCTCATTGCTTCTCTTTTTTAAAATGTGGGTACTAGAAAATTTTAAATTCTGAATGTGGTTGGAATTTTATTTCTGTTGGATGGGCTGCTCTGCAAAGTCCCACTAGCAGTCACTTGCTTTTGAAAAAGGAGACGGAACCTTCTTGAGCATTAAGAAGAGTCCATGTCTTAGCCTGAAAACACAAAAGTCCATAGGTTGGTGATGAAGACCAGGGATTCCAGGGTCAGCAGACCTTGGTTTGCTGCTGGTTTGGCCACTTTTTAGCTTTGACCTCAGGCAAGGTAACACATGCTACCTGCCTCAGCTTCTGCTTCTGTAAATTGGGGTGATAATCAGAATGCTTTTTTTGTAGAGTATTCATGATTAAACAATTTAATAAATGGGAAGTGCTTGGATCGTGGTTCATATGTGGTAAGCACATATAAATCTTTACTCCTCCTGCTCCTTTTAGTATCCTTTATCCTTAAACATGATGTAAAGAAAAGTCACTGGAGTTTAGAGGATGGAGGGAAATTATGGAAACCTAACAAATCTTGGGTTTGGACCATTGAATATGGGCAAAATTTCCTGGCAACACTAAAATTCTCTCTCTCTCTCTCTTT